GTGTGTGTGTGTGTGTGTGTGTGTGTGTGTGTGTGTGTGTGTGTGATTATTCAGCTCCTGCTGTAATCCAGCAGATGTGTTCTCAGCTAAACAGACTCAATCTCGATGCCTTTCAGATCTGTTGTGTTGTGTTTGAGCAGGTGTGGTGGAAGCGTGTGTTGTTCACGGCCTGAAGCGACGGGCTGCTGGCTTCCTGCGCAGTAACAAGCTGACGGCTCTCTTCATGAAGATGGGGAAGATGTTTCCACCAGCCGAGGAACTCTGCAGAAAAGTTCAGGAACTGGAGCAAATCATCGAGAACAAGTGAGAAACAATACAAAGTGCTCGTATGCAATACAAGTGTTTTCTTTCTATGCTCCTTTTACATATAATAATACATTACATTTAATCAAAATAATAATTATAATCGGATGTTATTATATTCATTTTAATCTATATTTATTATTATTATGTTTAGATCAAATTCTCACATTTCTGGCATTATCCTGTGTTCTTTGTCTGTTCCTTATCCTTAGAAAGGTGATATATAAATGAAAAATATAATAATAATGATAATAATAATAATAATAAAAGCTATTATTATTATCGTTAGAAGAATATTATTATATTTTAATTATTTATTTATATATTTTATTATTAATAATTCTACTACTAATAATAGTAGAAGTTATAGTATTATTATTAATAATATTATTGCTATGTTTAGGTAAAATTCTCACATTTCTGGCATTATCTTGTTACTTTTCTTCTTAAAGGTGCTATATAAATGAAACATACAATGACAATAATAAAAATAAATGTAAAAATAATTAAGAAAAAGAATACTATTGTATTTATTTATTTTTAATCAATTATATTCAATATATAAATACATAATTTTATTCAATTATATTTATTATTAATATAATTATGTCTATTTATATTTAATAATTCTTAATATTGTTAGCAATAATACTAATTATTATTATTATTGAATTAGTAATCTAAATATTTCTGCTGGTTTGAAATGAATGACGATTGTGGACTGATGAATCATGTATTTGAGTATTGAGTATCTATAGTAAATAGGGTTAATAAATTTGATTTTATTCAATTTGACTTTACAACACAAGACAAAATCAGGGTCAGATGAGTCAAGAGAGCGTCCGAAAACAGCCCAGGCCACTCAACCTGTCGCCGCTGGCTATCAAACACCTGTGGATCCGCACGGCGCTCACAGAGAAGCTGCTGGACAAAATCGTCCTGTACTTGGTGGAGAACAGCAGGTGAAGCATACATGACAGATAGAGCTTCTATATACTAGCTAGCACACTGCTTGGCTGACACAGTATGCAGTGATAAACAGCAATTGGTCACATGACCAAACTGTGTTGCATGTTAAATTTAGCGAGTGGCATTCAGTTTACAAATAAAAATTATTATTTTGCATATTTAATCCAGTGTTGTGTACATGTTTCATAGTTCATGGGCAGGTGTTTGAAATGAGGGTTCCAGTTACACGTACAGTTAGTTTGGTACAATGGAAATGGAAAATATGCAAACTAGGCAGCAGTATGTGAACATCGATTCAACTGAATGAATTAAATTAAACGTGTTTTTATTCATATTTCAGCAAGTTTTATGAAAGAGAAGCTCTTCTGAGAGATCCAGTTGACGGCCCAATCCTCGCATCTTTGCTTGGTATCAGTTTGTTTTTTAAAATTGAATATTATGTATACACTACCATTCAAAAGTTTGGGATCAGTAAGATCTTTAACTTTTTAGGAGAAATCTCTTCTGCTTTTATTTGATACAAATATAGTAAAAATTGTGAAATATTATTATAATTTAAAATAGCTGTTTTCTATGTGAATATCTGTTAAAGTATAATTTATTTCTGTGATCAAAGCTGAATTTTCAGTGTCACATAATCTTCAGAAATCATTCTAATATGCTGATTTGCTGCTCAAGAAACATTTCTGATTATCATCAATGTTGAAAACAGTTGTGCTGCTGAATATTTTTGTGGAAACTGTGATACATTTATTTTTCAGGATTCACAGATGAATAGAAAGTAAAAGAACAGCATTTATTTGAAATAGAAATCTTTTGAAACATTATAAGTGTCTTTACTGTCACTTTTGATCAATGTAACATCCTTGTTGAATAAAAGTATTTATTTATTTCATAAAAAAACAAAAACAAGTACCGACCCCAAACTTTTCAACGGTTGTTTATTTTGTTACATAAAGCCATATATATATAAATTATTATATATTTCTCTTTAATATATGTGTGTGGTGTGTATACATATATATATGTGTGTGTGTGTGTGTGTGTGTATATATATATATATATATAAAAACGACTTTATTCCACATTTTCGTCTCTACTGCGTCACTTGAGGACGCGCGGTTCTTTGCGCAAAAAAAGTATTCTCGTAGCTTCGTAACTTTACAGTTGAACCGCTGATGTCACACGGACTACTTTGTCGATCATCTTGGTACTTTTCTGGAGCTTGATCGTGGTAGTTACCTTGCTGTCTATGGGAGGGTCAGAGAGCTCTCGGATTTCATCAAAAATACCTTAAATTGTGTTCCGAAGATGAACGAAGGTCTTACGGGTTTCGAACAACACGAGGGTGAGTAATTAATGACAGAATTTGCATTTTTGGGTGAACTAACCCTTTAAGATTTTGTCCAAACGCTGTGTTTCTTTCAGTCGGTCCCTGTGCTTTGGAGTACACAAAAGCGAAGACGGCCAATCATTTCTGGACAGACCCCTCGGCTGATGAACTGGTGCAGAGACACCGCATTCACAGCGGACACTGCCGGCAAGATTCCCCCACCAAACGCCCGGCTCTCGTAAGACGTCCAGCATTTAATGTTCATTTCTCAAATCAAAACCCATGCATCTCTGTTAGACGGCAGTGAGATCCCAAAGTGTTGTTTTGTAGATCCAGAAGCGGCAGTCGAGCGGCAGTATGGATGACCGGCCGTCTCTCTGGGCGCGGGATTACGTCGAGTCTCTTCATCAAAACTCCAGAGCCACGCTGCTCTTCGGGAAGAACAATGTCCTGGTGCAGCCGGTACGTCAGCTGGGAAGCGTTACTTAGACATGCGTGACGATACTCTAGCCATAATGCACTTTAATTAAAGTGTGGCAGTAAATCTCACGCGGTGTTTCAGACAGATGACATGGAAGCAATCCCAGGATACCTCTCTCTTCACCAGACGGCCGATCTGATGACGCTCAAATGGACACCGAACCAGCTGATGAACGGAAACATGGGGGAGTTTGACTATGAGAAAAGGTGACGTGTGTTATGATTGTGACGTCTGCTTTGTGGGAACGATTTTAAATCAACATTCACTTCTCCACAGTGTATACTGGGATTTCGCCTTGACCATTCGTCTGGAGGAAATCGTCTATCTGCACTGCCATCAGCAAGGTGAATATATCAACACTGAGCATCTGTAACCCTGACATATGAAATAATAGTCAGAATAATCAAAAAAAAAAAAAAGTTTTTGCATGTGTTTTTTGTTGTTGTTGAGTATTGTTTTTAATGCATCAGGCTTTTATGGCTCATACAGTGTGATATAAAGGAAAAAACAGCTCAGTTTTACTCAAACTGAGCAAAAATATGCAATTTGGTGCAGATGCTGATATTTATATGACGAAATTCTGATGCTTGTCATGTAAATCAATGAGATCTTTATAACAGTAGAGCAGATATTCACATAAAATGCTCTAAATATCAGTCATTGCTCTATATCTCCAGTAATCTGTCTCAGTAAGATGAGATTGAAATGCTCCAAACATATAATGCAGTGATTGAGAGATGAAGAAATAAAGGCTCCTCAGAAGATGTGAGATGTTCTGGAGGCTTGTGAAGATCATTCCTCCGCTGAGGAACAGTGAAAGTAAAGCTTCTGGAAACAAACGCTCCTCAAAAGATCCTGAGGATCAGATTTGAGACTCTAAAACATGATTGATGGAGAATCAAGTAAAGCTGAGCTGCTTCAGTCCAGTAAGTGTTCATCTGGAGATATCACTGCAGTTATTCTGACGCTTACTTGATAAAAACCAGTCAAGATTTGATACAAGAAGCTCCAGCTACAGTTACATTACAACAGCTTTGACTGAATAAACTCTAAACTATCAATCAGACGACAGAAGCATGGAGGAGATTGAGTGCGAAACAGCAAAGTTTCTGCATCAAATATGATACAGTGGCTTTATAGGGTTAACGAAATTATCAAATTCATCGAACTGGCTTGATGTCTGAAGGTTTGTCTGCTGTGTCTGTGTGCAGTGGGCAGTGGAGGTACTGTGGTTTTGGTCAGTCAGGACGGGATCCAGAGGCCTCCGCTTCGCTTTCCTAAAGGCGGTCACCTGCTGCAGTTCCTCACGTGTCTGGAGACGGGCCTGCTTCCTCACGGACAGTTAGATCCTCCGCTCTGGTCCCAAAGAGGAAAGGTTTGCCCAGCGCTTTACAGTCAATCTGCAGTGGTTTGAATAAGAAACATTTCTTTTGGAGATCATTCTGTGTTCTTCCTCAGGGAAAAGTGTTTCCAAAACTGCGTAAAAGGAGTCCGCATGGATCCTGCGAGTCATTCTCGGACAAAGATGAAGACGAGGCCACTGATTATGTGTTTCGGATCATATATCCGGGCAGTCAGGAGTTCGGTATGTTGACGCGATGTTGGTCTGATAATCTTCAGATGTGCGGGGTTTCATTAAGGCTGTTCACAAGCAAGGACAGAATCTAAAACGGAATTTTCAAAAAATGACCTCATAAATGGAATCAAAAATTTTAATTCAAAACGTAAGAATGAACACTGTCCTGAATTGCTTCAAAACTAACTAAAACTAAATAAAAATAGGCATAAAATATATTTCGTTTTTTTTCTGAATAGAACAAACAGAATTATTTTAGTATCATCGAGATACTATTATGTTTTAATTAATATTTTTGACTTCTGTTTTCATTTTAAATTTATTTAAATGTTTAGTCATTTTATTGTGTTTTGTCATTTTAATATTTTTGTTTTAAATGTCTTTATTCTTTTTATTTAAATGTTTTTACTCATTTTATTTCAGTTTTATTTATTTTAGTACATCAAGTTAAACTAAATTAAAATGAGAAATGTTGCCTTTGTTTAAAAAGTTTACTTTTTTATTTGTATTTTATGTTTATTTTATTTCCAATAGCTATTTTTTTTAATGATTTTAGTTAACTTTAATAACCCTGTAAACTACAAGTCTACAGCGCCATCTACTGGCCAAATACATAGCATGTTTTTAAAGTTCCTACGGCAGTTTACTGTAAATATTATTGTAAATATACATATTTGCAAGAACATACATATATATATTCTAATAAAGTACATTTGACAAATTTGATAAATATTTAAAAAAATGGATATCATTGCCAATAGTAGATTTGTATATTTTTGTCACATGTCCCATATTAATATTTGTTTCATACTGTGAAAGCAGTTCATTTCATGGTATGAAAGAAAAAAGCATGCAATATAATTTTTTTTTGTATATACAAAATACTATACACGTCTTCATTTCAGGTAGATCATATATAAATGAATGAAATATCATTTATTTCTGTGATCAAAGCTGTATTTTCAGCATCATTACTGCAGTCTTCAGTGTCACATGATCTTCAGAAATCATTCTAATATGCTGATTTATTATCAATGTTAGAAACAGTTTTTGCTGCTTAATATTTTTTTTGGAACCGGTGATACTTTTTTCAGGATTATTTGATGAATAAAAAGTTAAAAAGAACGGCATTTATTCAAAATAGAAATCTTTTACTGTAATTTTTTATCAATTTAACACATCCTTGCTGAATAAATGTATTAATTTCGTTCAAAAATACGAAGAAAAAAAATCTGCTGACCCCAAACCTTTGAACGGTACTGTATATTATTAGAAAATATTTCTATTTTAAGTCAATTCTGTTATTTTTTAACTTTTTATTCATCAAAGAATCCTGAAAAAAAAGTATCACAAGTTCCAAAAAAATATGAAGCCAATATTGATAATAAATCAGCATATTAGAATGATTTCTGAAGATCATGTGACACTGAAGACTGGAGTAATGATGCTGAAAATACAGCTTTGATCACAGAAATAAATTACATTTTAACAGATATTAAAACAGAAAACAGTTATTTTAAATTGTAATAATATTTCATAATTTTACAGTTTTTTTATATTTCTGATCAAATAAATGCAGCCTTGATGAACAGAAGAGGCTTTTTTAAAAAAAACATGAAAATTCTTATTGATCCCAAACTTTTGAACGGCAGTGTAAATGTTATTTTTCATATGTGTGTCCATCTGACTGATGTCTGAAGCAGGATGATCGTGAATATGATGCTAATTGACTTTCTCGATGCTAAAGTGGTGCCGGAGCTCATGGATCAGACGGTGAACTTGTGGCAGCCCGCTCCCAGGAAGTCGTCTTGTTCTTCCTGTTCGCAGAACGGCTCGTCAGACGGTGGACTTCCCAATGGATGCAACCATGACAGGCTAGTCTGCCGCTCGTCTGAGTCTGTAGCTATAGACCAATTATAGGTTTGTAAACATTCAGGATGCGCGTGCATCATGGTTGCAGAAAACCCGGGAGAGATAGCCTTTACGGCTAGAGAATTTCACGGATAGGGTACAAAATAGTTAGGTTTAAAAAGATTATAAATTATATTGATTAGATGTCATTTTCAAAATGTTCTACGCATATTACAAGAGCTTGTCACCCAGCGATAAGCACTGTTATTCAACGAAATTGACGTTAGAGCGTGGGATAGTCTTACAGATCCGAAACAGGGATGACATTTTTTGTGGGCGGAGCCTATCTGGAGGCAGAAAATGACGGTTTTCAAGCGGCAGTCTATGGAGCCATGGAATAAAAGAATTAAAAAAAAAAAGTAAATTTGATTTTATATTTCAAAATTCTGACTTTATTCTCGCAATTGAATAAAACAACTCGTCATTCTCTCTTTTCCCCTCAGATTTGACAAACTCACTATTTTTGAGTTAAGTCGAGTTATAAAGTCCGAATTAGGAGAGATAAACTTGAATTTGCGAAGAAAAAAAGTCAGAATTGTGAGATAAAATAAATAAATGTTATGTAAAAATGTTAATAGTAAGGTTTAAATAATATTTCATGCTGTAACTGTAGGGCTAATACAATACGTCCCCTATGAACAGCATATGTGAATATTATGTAGACCTATTGTTTAA